GCCTGGTGCATGGGTGGGGGCTAGCTGGTTTGCCCTGAAGGGTATCCCAGATCAGGGTGGGGGTTCCCTTGGGGCGTGGGGTGGCCTGGGCGAGGGGCCTGTGGTGGTTTGCAGGCTGGCCATGCCCCTAGGCGACCCAAGTGGAGGCCCTGGTATCTGGAGTTTATTTACCTTCTACAATTGAAACTTTGTAGCCTGGAGCGGAGCCGGAGCCAAGCCTCCTGCTTTCTCTGTGGAAGCAGCAATTTCTGTTTGGATTTATTTACCTTCTATAATTGAAACTTTGTAGCCTGGAGTGAAGGCCTGAGCCGGCCAGGGCTGCAGAAGCTTGGATTCCTCCATCACCAGGAGCAACCCTAGCCTCCTGCTATTCCAGCTCTGTGGCCATAGCCATTTCTGTTTACCTTCTATAATTGAAACTTTGTAGCCTGGAGTGGAGGCCTAGGCTGGCTAGGGCAGGCAGAAAGCTTGGCTTCCTCCATTGCCAGGGAAACCCAAGCCTCCCTCCTGCTCTCTGTGGCTGCAGCCATCTTGGTTAGGTTTATTTGCATATTTGCTCCAGATTGGCTGGTGGGCATGGCTGGTGGGCATGGCTGGTGGGTGTAGTGATGGTCAATTTGCATATTATTCTTTTATTAGATAGGATTAAAGGGGAAGATATAAGTGTTAGGAATATAGGGCAATAAAATCCTTAATGGCCATTTGTAAGCTTCCTGCCATAGGAAAACAAAGACCAGGAAAACTTGCTGGACTCCAGGAGTCAGACCATATAAGGAATGGAAACTGTCCTAAAAACACAGGACAACACACCTGCGGTCCATCTGCATTCCAAGCCCACCAGCTCCACCCCCAAACCTACTGAAGACAAGAGCTTCCAGCTCCTAGGTGCTGCCAGCATCACTCCCATGTGCCCTCAGCTGGGCAGCCCTTCCCTTTGGGTATCCCATCCCTCAGCCCCTTTCCTTAAATAAATTCCATTTTCCTTCACCCACCGTCTGAGATGGCTACTTAGCCTACCCAAGCACTACCACATTAACATTTCTATAAGGGGTGTTAGGGTTAGGCTGGTACTGTGGGAGGTGAAAGAATTCACAACCAAGAGAAGAGAAAATCTATTTTACTTTCCAAGGGAGGAAAGGGTTGGAGTATTGCTAGTCGATACAGGGCGGGGAAGAAAGAGTGGCTTTCACTTTTAAAGAGCAAGCGGGTGGTGTTGTTAGGTAACAAGGAAGCACGGCAGGGAAGGGGACTGTGTTGAAATCTATCAGATACGGAGGTGAGGGTTTTCTTGGAAAGTTAGTTTCTTTGCCGTTTAGGAGATAGTTCCGGCAGATGTCCTAACAAAAGTTATGAAGAGTTTAAAAGAGTCTTTCCTGAAGGGGAGGGGGAGGAAGGAAATGAGGAGGAGGTGGGAGAGCTGTTAAAACAGAGGAGGTGGAGGTGGAAGAGAGTGTGCATTGAGAGTAGCTTACTTTTGTCCTGCAGTTTGAATAGAGGAGCTGTTTGAATCAGGGAGCCAACAATCTTGAGGTTTAACTATTAGGTGCCTCTGATAAGTTGTGGAAAGGCCTGTTTTCTGCCCTTCCCAGAGTATTGATGAAATTCATGGGTAACAGATTAGGGAGGTGGGAGAAAGTAAGGAAGGGAGATTGGTCAAAAAGTAAAACGAATATATACATACTTTTACATTGGTGGTTAGAGGATACGTAATAATTAACATTTACAGAATATAGAGATGGTATGCAGGAAACAAGAAAACAATGGGAGGGTCTATGGAATCATGTTCTGGTGGGAGATTATACCCTGAAGGGTCTGGCAAAGGGGATTATTAACACAAAATAGAGGCCCGGTGCATAAAATTCATGCATAGGGGTGGTCCCTCAGTCTGGCCTGCACCCTCTCAAAATTCAAGACCTCTTGGAGGATATCCGACTGCCAGTTTAGGCCCAATCCCTTGGGATCCCTGCAGATAGGGCCTAGACCAGCAGTCGGACATGCCTCTCAAAATCTGGGACCACTGGCCCCTAACCACTCACCTGCCTGCCTGATTGCCCCTAACCTCTCTGCTTGCCTGCCTGATTGCCCTTAACTGCCTCTGCCAGCATAATTGCCCCTAACTGCTCACTGGGGCACTGCTGACCAAGGTCAGGGTCAGTTCTGGTCTCTGGTTATTCTGGTCGTTCCACTGTTTTAGTCGCTGGGCTTTTATTCTATAGGATGTTAGACATGGTTCTTGAGTTCACAGCTAAGAACAACTCAGAGCCAAGAACTCTAATGCACGAGAAAGTATAGAGAAAGAAAGTCACAGAAGCAGAGGAAGTGAGTCATTTGGGCTGCATGAGCTCAGGAAACAAGTTACAGAGACAAAAGAAGGGTCCTTGGAGCTTAGAAGAAATAAAGGTAAGTGCCTGAGAAAGGCTAGGCAAGAGAGAGGGGGGGGGGGGGGGGGGGGGGGGGAAGAGAGCCCAGCCCGCGCTCACTGGGTTCTTCATTTTAAGGTGTTTTTTTTTTAAATATATATATATTATTGATTTTTATACAGAGAGGAAGGGAGAGGGATAGAGAGTTAGAAACATCGATGAGAGAGAAACATCAATCAGCTGCCTCCTGCACCTCCCCCACTAGGGATATGCCCACAACCAAGGTACATACATACCCCTTGACTGGAATTGGACCTGGACCCTTCAGTCCTCAGGCTGACACTCTATTCATTGAGCCAAACCGGCTTCGGCCATTTTAAGGGTTTTTGTCTCTTTTCCAGAGATGGGTGTCTAGGGGCTCTCAGGGGAGGTCTAATAGGATAATCACCAGCCTTCCAGGTGCCCGTTTGGGTCCTGGCCCACACCAGGGGAGGGGTCGATGGTCATTGCAGCTGGTCCTGCAGTCATTATGGTTCTGCTCCCTCTGGTTTTGCTGCTGTTTGGGGCTGGGAGCTGAGGCACAGCTGAGGCCTCAGGTCATCCCCTGTGGTCAGAGGCCTGAGGATTTGTTCCTGAGCGTATGATGCTGGTCAGACCGTCAGTATCCTGAGGGCTTTGTGCTGCAGGGAGGGGTCAGGTATGGGCTTGTGGGGAGTCTGTGAGGCTGTTTTGCTGTCTTTGTTGCTCCTAGGGGTGCAAAGGTCACCCTGGGATAATACCTGCACCTATGATCGTGGTTTCTCTAGCTTTTCTCATTGCTAAGCACCCTTGGGACATCCCAGAGCTGGCCTCTCTTCCTGCTGTGCTCACATCTGTCTGCCTGCCTGCTCCATCAGGGTCATCCTGACATGCCAAAGGTATGTTACTGTAGATGAAGCAAGATAATAGATAGGCTCAGTTAAGATAAAGATTGACCTTTGTCAGGGAAGATACCAGTGTAGCACATGACTACTGCCACGACTCTGTTAAGATGTTTTCACTTCAGACCATCCTCTGTGGTCACTTTAGGTCTCTGAGTTTGTACGGCTGCCATGCAGACCTCCCTGAGCTGTCAAGTTCAGTGTGTGGCCCTGTTCTGTCCACACTGTTATGTTGGTATTTATATGGCTCCACTGCTGACTGGGAAGCTCTTACACCAGTACCCCGAACCTCATTGGACACTCACATGTTTTCAAAGGAGGTTTTATCTGATTTACAGGATGCTCCATCTGCCCAAGGCCATGCAATGAGAAAGACATAGATCCAGAACCCCAACTCAGCTTTTGTTCTAGAGTCCTCCTTCTGCATCCCATAGACCCTCCTGAAGCAGAATGGGCAGGGGGAAAGGTGCATTTGAGGGGCTCCCCAAGGCACACAAGTCCATTCCCACCCCTGCAACCTCCATGGCACTGCCCAGTAGAGGAGAATCCCAAATGTCTTTCATCTACATCCTGGCACCTGGACGACAATTGCAGCCCATTGCTACTCCTAAGGGAGATTGCAGACTCTAGTTTGACTGAGGGAGCAGCCTTCTAGGATTTGAGCTTCACTAATCATCTCTGCTGACTAGACTGCCTCCCCCATGTACCTTCAAAAATTGAGAACGGGACTTGAATCAATTGCTCATTACTTGTTCCTGGAAACCACGGCCACAAGAGTCCACCCACTGTTGCTCCCAGCCAGCTCTCTTTCCTCTCACTGTTCTGCCTCAGCATTTGTGGCACACACAGCAGAACTGAGTCCCACTGTGGGGCAGCCTCGAGGTCCATGTCACCGTGATCCTGTGACTCCACACAACAGACCCCTTGTGGGTGAGTTGGAAAATATTTCCTAAGTAGACAACCTGGTTTCCTTCCCTCACAGAGAAGGGAAATGATGCCAAGAGTTGGGGGTGGCTTCCGTTGCCACCACCCATCTTGTATATTAAAGGAGTAGAAGGCATTGAAGTCACCTAAATGCACCCCCGGAGGGAGCTGTTCCTAGCTCCACTATTGGTTGAATTCTCTGGCACTGCCAAAGTTGGGGATGGGAGTCAGAAAAAACTAAGTGACAAGAAGCAATGGAGCCAAAACTGGTTTGGCTCAATGGATAGAGCGTCGGCTTGGGGATTGAAAGGTCCCGGGTTTGATTCCGGTCAAGGGCATGTACCTTGGTTGCGGGCATATCCCCAGTAGGGGGTGTGCAAGAGGCAGCTGATCAATGACTCTCTCTCATCAATGTTTCTAATTCTTTCTCTCCCTTCCTCTCTGTACAAAATCAATATATTAAAAAAAGAAAAAAAAGAAAAAAGAGAAGCAATGGAGTCAATTTCCTTATTCATGTCCACACAGACCAAAACTGCTCCAAGGATTATGGGAAGGTACAGCACCCACTCTCAAGATGAACAGTCCTTGGACTTCATCTACTGTATAATATAATAATAAAAGTATAATATGCTAATTAGCCTGGACATCCTTCTGGATGACCTTCCGGACGAAGCCGGGCTGCCAGAGAAGCCCGGGTCCTGGGTGCCAGCAGCCGGGGGAAGGAAGGCCTGCTCTTGCATGAATTTCGTGCGTTGGGCCTCTAGTCTAATATAATGAGAAGACAGAAGCAAAAGGCTCACTGCCACCACTTTATTAAGAATCCAATCACTGATTTGACATCCTGGTTCTTTTCTTGAGCAGGTAAAAGACGAGGCCTGAAGCTGCTAGCATGCCTGCGGAGACAACTACAATGGCCATGGCTTTGAAAGCAACGTATCCAGCATCTCCGTGCCCTGCAGTGTCTACTGAGTCTGGAAGAGAAGCAGACGTGAGTCTTAAGAGTAAGTTGAAGTTGAACATGTGAGGGCTCCCAGAGAGGGAGGAAAAATTAACCCTCAGAGGATTCCTCCGGGAAGCTTGCAACAGGGCACAGCTTTAATCCCTGAGCCAACGCCTCCTCTCCACACTCAGGTTGCTCCCGAAGGTCAGATGGCTGAAAAGGACCTTACTGTCCCGGCCTGTTGCCCAACACAATATCCTGGACCGACAGTTCTCCCAGGATATTAGTTAGGGATGAAAACAGCTTAATTTCAAATTCTAGGCCTAAAATTAAGACATCTGGGGCAAGGATATAAGATATTAATAAGTTGGGGGTTGGCGGGATCCAGGCACAAGCCTTCTGACCCATTAGTCCTATTTCTAGAAGCATCCTGGAGTTCTTGTATAGCAGGCAAAGAACTAAGAGGCTTCTGATGTGGCACGAGTGACCAAGCTGGAGGTAACCTAAATGGGAATCCACTTAGCTATTAACAGTGAGGTGGGTCTCTGCACAGATAAGATACAGTTTACAAAGCAGCTCAGAGCTGTAGGGAGACTATATGACCCCGCTGTGCTAAAGGAGGTTGGGGGAGCAGAAGCCATCCCTGGGAGGAGACTGTCCTCTCTCTTGTTCAGAGGCGAGCATGCGTTCTATTTGCTTACTGGAATGTCACATACAGCCTCGCCCTTGCAGCCAGGGAGGGCCCTGGGCTCCAGGGCCATACCTCTGTCCGTGGAGCCCTCTGACAACAGGAGGATGGGTCCCGGCAGACTTATTGTTGTTTCCTCTTCCTCAGTGGCCCCCGAGGCTGCAGACAGGTTACAGGGCTTGAGCTCTGAACTAGTGCGCACGAGTGCCGAGCGGGGTGTCCGTGGGCCTCCCAGTGCAGACCGCAGCTCCCTGCTCTGCTGGGCAGGGAGCCGGCCTCGGCAGGACAGGGCATGCACCTCCCTAAGGACAGGGTGGGCCCCTCAAGAACTTTACGTCTGAATCTACCGAGTCTGGAGAAGAAAAACCTTTTGGTCACGCCTGTAAACGCTCAGACTTGTCCACAGGGACAAGAGCCTGCCCATGTCAGACTCAAACAGGAAGGCCTGCTGGGCCAAGGCTGCCTGGACTCTGAGTGGGTGAAGAATGAGGCCTCGTCCTTATGTGTTGAAATGAAGCTTGTTCTGAGTAACTTCACAGTAACGAGGGTTGCAATGTTACCTCGCCTGCTCCTCGGTGACGCAGGGCAGGCCCCGGAGCACGGCATGGAGTGGGGGGAGCGCAGGTTGCAGAGGGAGGCGCTGCAGTGGAAGTGGACCTGAGACAGCGGCAGAAGGAGGCGGCGGCGAGGTGAGCCAGGGCCCCACAGCCCCGCCCACGCTGTTAATACTCACCAGGCTGGCCAGCACTCCGGCATCTGACACGAAGGCAAAGGTCTTCACCTCGAACCTCCGGTAGTGGGCAGGGTAAGCCACAGAGGAGCCGATGGGATGGAAGGTGGTTCTGTGCGTGTCCAGGGTGTGTTCACAGCTAGGAGGCATGTGCCAGGGAGGACGTCAGCCTTCACCCGGGCAACTCCATGTTTGCCCAGGTTCCGCCTCCCGGGGCACCGTCAGAACCATTGCTGTATGTTCCACTGCACCTCCTTCTGACTTGGCCTCTCCAACCATACCCATGAATTCCAAGCAGCATGTGCTGGTTTTCTCCTGCTATTTCAATTGTATTAATACAATTTAAATATTTATATGTTTGCCAGCTAAACGCAGCAAGCGCTACAAGATTCATATGTGTGTCTTCAGATGACACTGGCTGGATTCTGACTACTGTGATCATGTCCGAGGCAGTTAGTATTTGTCAGTGACTCAAAACGTTGGAGAAGTCCTTAGGTGCTAGCAGAGTGAGAGCTATAAAAAGTGGGTGTGTGCTGGCCGGAGGCTGAGCTCGCTGGGACACTGTCCCCTACACCAAAAGGCTGTGTGTGGGCTGGATTCCCAGTCAGGGCACATGCCCGGGTTGTGGGTTCAATCCCCAGTCAGATTGTGTACCAGAGGCAACCTGTTGATGTTTTTCCCTCACATCAATGTTTCTCTGTCCCCTTCCTCTCTGTAAAAATCAATAAAAACATTCTCAAAGTCTGAAAACAACAACACACGGTGTGTTGGGTGTAAGTGCTAAGGAGAGAAGAGTCTGAAGGGTCAGGGAGCCGGGTCAGCTGACTTCCCAGAGAAGAGACATTGGACAGGCTTCTGGGTTGGAGGAGCACAGCTCTGTGTGGCCAGCAGGGCGGTACCTAGAGGCCAGGAGCCTAGGGGCAGAAACAACAGCTCCCAGAAAAGGAGGTGCGGGCCTGCGGGGGCAGACCCACAGGCAGAGCCCGTGCTGGGCGGCCTCACTCCAGAGCAGGTGTGAGGCCCAGAGGCAGACAGGTGTCCCCGCACCCTGCGCTGAGCAGCACTGGGGCTCCTGGCGAGCAGGGCCACTGCCCAGGGACCCACCCGGTGGGGATGAAGGTTCACGGCGCACGCACAGGACGAGGCTGGGCTCAGGATGGAACCGGAGGGCGGCCTTCTCCCGGGGGAGCGAGCCCGGGGCCAGGCCTCTGTGAGCCCCCCTCTAGACTCGGGGCGGGCAGTGTGGTCACCGAGCCCAGGGACAAAGGTCAGCGCTTGGCGACGGGGCCCCGGAGCCAGGAGCTGGGTGCCCCCCCCATCCCCCTCCCCCCGGCGCACTGGATGGCTCGCGGGGAGGGACCTACCCGTCCTTGACCACCGTCCAGCGGGGCCGGGCAGCGGGGTCGGTGGCGGGCGTGGCCCAGCAGTCGCCCAGGACCAGCTGGATGTTGGGGTCAGTCCTGTTGACCACGCTCACCTCCAGGAAGATGGGCTGGCGGAGGCGCCGCGGCACCGGGTAGTCCCCGTCCACGAACGGGCGCAGGTAGGACCCGTCTGGAAGGGAGCAGCTCTCAGCCCAGGCCGGCTGGGGCGGGAGCTGGGGCGGCGGTGCGGGGCTCACCTGGGAAGGCCTGCAGGAGGAAGGCCAGCGGGCCAGGCCGCACCAAGCGCCCCGCAGCGGGCGGGCCCTGGACGCTGGCGTTGGTGAGCACAGCCCCCGCGCGGTAGTGGCACCTCACGGTCACCCTGAGGGTGCAGTGGGCGGGAGTCAGTTAACAGCTGCTGGGCATTAGGCTGGAGCCTGAGCACCAGACGCAGCCAGGCCCACCTGAGATACTCCCCACCCCCCGCCCCACCCGAGCCCCCCGTCCCACCTGAGCCCTCTGTCCCACCTGAGCTCCCCAGCTCTGGAAATGGTGTGTGGAGGAAACCCGGCCCGGAGCGCGCGTATCTCATTCTCGTAGATGACCTTGCCGCCCTCGAACTGAGAGTGAGAGAGGGTCAGGGGGTGCTCACCGTGCTCCCAGGCCAGCCTCAGCCCGCTGTCCACACTGACCCGATGGGTGGTCCCACATCCGTTCAGAGGAATGCGAAACCGCGCCAGCCCCCGGGGCGCTGCGGCCAGGCTGGGCCAGCAGGAGGAGTTCCCCACTCTGAGGGTGGCCAGGTTGAGAGCGGGGCTCAGCTGGTGACTGTGGACTTGGACATCCATGAACCCGTCCTGGGTGCACAGCTCGCCTGCTGTCAGAGTGGCATGAGATGCTGGGGAAGGGGGAGCGGGCGTCTGCCAGCAGGGCCGTCCTTCCGCCTGCAGTCTGAGGGAGGACTCCCCTGGTTTCACCAGGCGGCACCCCCATGTGTTTAAGTCTTTGGGGTAAGATAGTTAAGGAGACAGACAGCAGAAATCCAATTACAGTGGTGCCTCACACAACGAACTTAATTCGTTCCAGGAGCAAGTTTGTTATGCGAAAAGTTCGTTATGTGAAACGCGTTTTCCCATAACAATACATGTTAAAAAAAATAATTCGTTCTGTAGCATAAAATATGCTAAGATGACATAAAAAAAGATAAATTTTTTGTTATTATTTTTATTTAGATACATCATGATATAAAAAAAATATTGAGTTTAACTTAAAAGGACGACTGCCGTGATACGTGCGTGATTTAATTCGTAATGAAGAACGATTGCCGCAATACGTGCTTAAGTTAAGCGCAGTGACTAACGACTGCCTGCAGTGCCTGCGCGGAAGGATGCAATACATCGGCAGCGATCGTGGAAGCTCGGGCGAAGCAATCGTGGAAGCTCGGGCAAAGCGGTCGTGGAAGCTCGGGCGACTTCGTTGTGTGAAACGAAGTTCATTGTATGAATCATGAAATGAAGTTCATTGTGTGCAGCGTTCGCTGTGCGAGGCGTTCTTTATGCGAGGCACCACTGTAGTGCCATTCGCCAACCACACCCAAGGACAGATGAAGTTAAGAGGAAAAAAAAAAATTGAGGAGAAACCAAGATGGTGGCAAAGGTAAACACCTAAATTGCTGCCTTGTATAACAATTTCAAAACTACAACTAAAGACAACTATCACCCAGAACCACGGGAAAGCTGGCTGAGTGGAAGTTCTACAACTAGAAGGAAAGAGAAAGGAGCACAAGCACTGAAAAGCTGAGGTACGGAGGCACACGAATCTGGCTGGTGGCGAGTGACTGAGAGCACTGCTTTTTCAACCCAAAGGAAGACAAGCTCCTGATTACTCTGAAATCCAGTTTCTGGGGAGATGTGGGGGACCCAAACTCCTACAGGGAGAAGCTGGACTATCTGCCATCAGGTTGGAAAGTGAGGGTGACTATTTTGCAGAGGTGCGCCCAGCAATCATTGTTTACTGGGCTGGAGCACGGGACACGTGGGGACCTGAAAAGGCAGAGAAGATGGATTGGCAGCTATTGCTGATTGACACACTCTAGCCTAGTGATGTCCTGAGACCCTACCCTGCACAGTCTACAAACACACCCAAGCTCCGTGCTGCGGCTTTTGCATATAAATGTCCTGTGCTGTTGCCAAACAGACTGCAGTTTCAGTCAGTCAGCTCCAAAACCTCCAAACCCTAAGCAAAGAGGAGAAAACTGTAGTTCTCGCTGTAGCTCCTGTGGAGTGGCCTCAGACAGTAGCTGACCTACTTCCCACTGGAGATCCAGAAGCTAGTGTATCTAGTGGTCGATGTGAGATGAAACCAAATTTCAACTACTCTCATAAGGGACACATTCAAGAGGCAGACTCAGTGAGCACCAAAGCCCCACTGGAACAAGTCCTGCCCCATAATCATGTCTCCAGCACAGCAATTCTTCCATTATAGACACAGCAGTTCCTCTCAGCCAATTGGCCTGGAGGTCAATTCCTCCCAGTGACACTAACAACAAACAAGACTTAACCACAATAAGGCTGTGCACATAGTCCACAAAGGGGAGCACCAAGAGTGCCCACCTCAGGTAACTGGGAGGCTGACCCATTGAACCATATAGGACACCCAGCACACAAAGCTACCCTACCAACTCAGGGAAACAGCAGAAGTGAGAAGTCAAGGAAACAGATCACAAACAAAAGAAATGTAGAACAAATGATTAGACAGAGGTCGAAACTATGGTTATAAGGGTTTTCAAGAATTTCCTAGAAAAGGCCGATAAATTCAATGAGACACTCGAGTATATGAAAAAGGACCAACTAGAAATTAAACATACACTGACTGAAATAAATATACAGAAATCCAACAGCAGACTAGAGGAATGCAAGAATCCAGTCAAAGATTTGAAATACAAAGAAGCAAAGAACAATCAACCAGATAAGCAAAAAGAAAAAAAATTCAAAAAGTTGAAGATAGCATAAGAAGCCTCTGGGACAACTTCAAGTGTCATCAGAATTATGGGGGTGCCAGAAGAAGAGAGAGAGCAAGATACTGAAAACCTATTTGAAGAAATAATGACTGAAAATTTCCCCCACCTGATGAAAGAAATAGACTTATAAATCCAGGGAGTGCACAGAAACAAAAACAAAAGGAATCCAAAGAGGATCACACCAAGACACATCATACTTAAAATGCCAAGGGCAAAAGACAGAATATTAAAAGCAGCAAGGGAAAAACAGTTATCTACAAGGGAGCACCCATATGATTGTCAACTGATTTCTCAACAGAAACTATGCAGGCCAGATTGGAGTGGCAAGAAATATTCAAAGTGATGAATAGCAAGAATCTACAACCAAGATTACTCTACCCAGCAAAGTTATCATTCAGAATAGAAGGTCAGATAAAAAGCTTCACAGATCAGAAAAAGCTGAAGGTGTTCATCACTACCAAGCCAGTATTATATGAAATGCTGAAAGGTATTCTTTAAGAAGAGGGAGAAGAAAAAAGTAAAGATAAGAATTATGAACAACAAATACATATCAACAAATGAATCTAAAAGTCATGAGTTAAAAATATGAAGAACAGAATAAACTGGTGAATATAAGAGAATCAGGGGCATCAAATGGGAGTGGATTGATAATTTTCAGGGGGGAAGGGGCATGGGAGGTGCGGGAAGAGACTGGACAAAAATCGTACACCTATGGATGAGGACAGTAGGGGGGAGATAAGGGCAGAGGGTGGGGTGGGAACCAGGTGGAGGGGAGCTATGTGGGGTAGAGAGGAAGAAGAAACAATTGTAATAATCTGAACAATAAAATTTTATTAAATTTAAAAAAGAGAAAAAAAAACTTTTTGGTACATGAATATGCTACTGAGAGCCTCCTCTAAATGCCCCGCCTTTAAAACTCCTCAGAAGGAAGACCAGTGCCTGCCCTCTCCCTCCCAGGAGCACAAGGCCCGTGCCTTCCCTCTCCTCCTCCCCTCCCCCTCCTCTTCCCACATCTCCTAAGCTCTAGGATTCCAGGAGACTTGCAACCAGGGCAACTGTACTTCATCTGGGCAACCTCCCTCCCCTCTACCCTATCCCCCAACCCCCAACTCGTCTCCAAGGCCCCCTTTTCTCTGACTTTCTAGTGAGCCGGAACAGCCCAGTCCCTCTCCTGCTGCCTTAGGCCTCACTTGCTTTTCTGGCCCCAGCTTCAATAAACGTCCTCTGAGATTCAAAATAAAAGTACCTTGGTAAGTGGCTTGAGTTACAAGGGGAGACCCTGAGGTCCCAGGCGATGGTGGAGCTGCTTTGTCTGAACAGAGTTTATGCAAAGAAGAGGGAGCAGGAGACAAGGAAGGAAGCACCATGTGGGGGAGAATCTACAGAAAACCTCGAGGAGGGGCTGGCGTGACTCAAATTATTTGTGACTTGAAGTGCAGTGCCTGGTGTCCTATGTCCCTCTGTCAGACACACACCCAGGACAGCTGGGGAGGCGCCCATCGTCCCTCTCTGGCTTGGCCTGACAAGGTATGTGTGGGGGGGAGGTGTAACAGCAGGAGTTCAGGAAAAGTCTTTTCACCTTCGCTAATCTCTTTAGTTCCAGGTTGGGCCACAGGCTCAGGCTTCTGAGGCGAAGCACCCTCCTGGGCCACCCTCTTGCAGCCCTACCCCAGCAGCTGGTCTGGGCCTCTGGCCTGGCAGCTTTTGTTTCCTGGGCGTGAGCAGTGCAGTGTAAACCATGCCTGCTCTCCCGCGGGCACAGGGAGGCTGAGGAGAACAGAATGTGCAGACCACTGCTCAAAGGTCTTTACCTGTAAGGACTGGAGGCTCACAGAGACACTCAGCGTGAAACACCATGGACGCTGTCTCCCGGAGGAAGGAAAAAGTCAGCTTGAGTGACGGTAAGAAGAACTGGTAGGGCAGGCACTGTTCTGAGGACTGAAACGCAAGAAGAGTGTCAGCATCAGAGACCACCCAGTGGGCCCAGTGCAGTGTGTGTGTGTGTGTGTGGGGGCGGGGGGTGTAGGAGTCCTGCAGCGCACACCCCAGACCTATTTGGTTTCCCTTTAAGCCAGAAGGAGAGACCCTGTCACTGTGTCAGGATTCGTCTCTCCACAGGGTGTTTTTTTGCTTTAATCCATGCCCCCAAGTGCCCAGCACTGCGTGCTCTTTGTACTGGACACAGATGATGAGTTAGCAGGTCAAATGCTACAGAGAACCCAGGGCCCTGCCAGCAGCCGGAGGAGAGGGCACCGCAGAGCACAGAGACCCCTGTGTCCCTGGCTGTGGGCCGGGAGGGATTGGCTCAGGGTGGCAGTGTGGGACCCTCCGTTTGGCTCAGGCTGCCCTGGGTTAAGAGGGCCTGAGTCACTCATCATTAGAAACTCGGCAGAGTTTGTACTATTCAATGTGCTGAGAAACATTGAGGAACACTGCCATTGTGGAGGTTCAAAAGGCTCAATGTTTGCAAGTAAATTTCAGTTACTGGGGAGTTCACTTATGCAAAGTAATCAGATGAGGCTCCCAGACTATGGGCTGCCACACTGGCTGTTGTAACGTACAGGCAGGTCAGGTTACTGGTGAGACCATGTTTCAGTCAGGTTCCCACACTCAGTGGTTGGCAAGGCAACGTACTTTGGTTTGGAGAAGAGCTTTGCTGAAGTGCAGCCTCAGGCCTCCTGCTGCCTCCGTCCCGATGCCGTGCCCATGCAGCTGGCTCACTGCGATGTCTCTGTTTCCAACGCTCACGGATCTTAACTTCCCAGGGAACTCTGGGATGGCGAGAGTCATGTGCGTGGCATTGCAGGTCACATGGCCTGGAGGGCATGACCGGAAGGTGTCTGTGGTCAGCTCTGAGGAAGCCCCAGAACAATATCTTCCAGCCTGGAGCTGCCTGTGCCTGGATCTTACCTGATAAGCAAGTCACCTGTGCTGCTAAAATGATCTTTTGTCCAAAAATTCTATGGATGAGCTTCAGAGGCACCATGTAGAGATGACTGTGACCTTGCTGGGGGGAGGGAACAACATCATCAGAGACCTCACTTCAATTCAATTTCTAAACAACACTAGAAGAGTGGTCAAGGCAAGCACATACTCAAGCACGGGGCACTGTTTTGGCCTAAGTAGAATTCAGGCATTTTGTCCGATGATTGTTATGCCAGGGACTCGTTTTAAAATTTCGTGCTTTTCATATCTGGCAAGTGAGGGTTGTCTATCGAGGTGCCCTGTAGCTGATCCTTTCTGGGTCCCAGCAAAAGCTGCTCTATTTTATGACTATTTTGTGGTGTCATCATCCAGAGAGAATGCTTGCAAGACTGAATAACCTTCTAGTGCAGATCTGTTCCTACTAAAATGCCGGTGTTTGAGCACTTTGACACATTAGTTCATTTAACACCGAGTCTCTTCTGTCGGCTGAAGAGCACCGGTCCCTACTGCAAGGCACAGGATGGGAGAACAATAACAGCAACAGAACCTAGCTCGTGGGAGAGCCGATGCAGGCCATGGGGAAGAGGGAGAACTGGTAAAGTAAGGGCCATCTGTTCACCACCGTGTCTTCAACACGTGGCGCAGCGCGCGGCCCACAGAAAGCACCGAGAAGCCCATGAGTGAGGTGTGTTCTTAGTTACTTTGAGGACGTGGCTGAGGTCAGGCTTGGGTTTGAAAAGAGTGGCCTGTGCCTGGGTGGGGCACAGAGAGACTCACACCCACCGTGTAGTGGGTCACTCCGGTAGCATTGAACGGCACTTGCATGGTCATCTTGTAGTCGCCAATTAGGATGTTGTATCCCTGCGCTAGGGCCTCCAGAAGGGTCAGAGTGTGGGCTTCTGCGCCGTGACCAACCTCAATGCTCCATCCCATCTGCTCCTGGAGATCCTAAAGCCAACATTTCCCTCAGAGGGCGGACCTCCCCTACCCTCCAAGCTTATCATCTAACATTTTAATCAGGATTGAAGTTATGTTATCTTTAATATAGAAAAAAGGCTACTTATGTCTGTATATTAAAGTTATTTTCATACCATATTTTCATCAGCCAAGCCAGGAACACCATGAAAGGTAAACTGGAAGGCAACAAACGTGGGATGTTAGGCTGTGCTTTGGAGGAGAGTTCCCGAATCCTGCTGCCCGCAGTAGGCAGAAGGCCCAACCAGCTCTGTGTGGCTCCCCCGAGGCCTGGGCGTGGGGCCCGAGGACAAGCAGGACCAGACAGACCCAGCTGCACCGAGACACCATCTCGCCTCCAGAGCTCCTGGTACCGGACGGCAATTGGAGGATCTGAACTCCCTTTCAGCTGCAAGTTAGACCACGTTCTCCAGGCACAGTTGTACTAGCTCGTAGGGACCCAGGGTTATCTCCAGCCATGCCGTTCCATTATTGTTGTAATAAAGTACTGGTATTTCTCTGATCTTTCTGTTGTCGAAATTAGCTATGTTAGTCAAAATTAGCTATGCTAGACTATGAAGTCCATGAGCGTGTGATTGGGCTGTTTGGCTCATCTACTGGATCCTATCCTCTGGCCCAGGGCCTGGCACATGGTAGGTAGGCAGCTTTTCAAGAAAGTATAAATGTGATGGTAGCTTCCTATTGCCAGGTGTGGTGTGCCAAGCCTGTGTACACCCTCTCAGTGTATTTTTAGAGACACCCCATAAGGAAGTGTTATTTTCTCCCACTTCGGGGCTTGGAAACAAAGAGTTGGTTTGTTTAAAATATTAACTCAAAGCCACAGAGCCAGTAAGTAGTGGATACAGGATCGCAATTCTGACCTTATTCCCAAGCCTGACTCTGTCCAGACACACCCTCCCCTCCCTGGGCTGCGGGGAAGCCTGCCTCTCTACTCACAGACATGCCCTCCTTTGAGCACAGGGTGGATCCTGGGTGCTCCTGGGCCCCTCCGGCCCGCATGGCCGGACAGCTGACCTGATACATGAAAGCCTCGTGTCCTCCAGCAGCAGCCCTGTTGTCTGTGAGCCGGATGGTCATCTGGTGCTGGCCAAGCTGTGTGCAAGCGGTCTCATAAGAACAGGAAGTGTTGGGGCCTCCGTGGGAAAAAAGATTCCAAAATGCCGTCTGACCTGGAGTGGTCACCAGGACTGCTGCTTCTGGAAGGCCCCTCACCCCTACACCAGGAGACCACAGCCAGCCCGTGAGAGAGCCCAGAAGCACGCATACATAGGCAGGGAACAGTTCCTGAACTTCATGGACTGGAGTTCAGTTTTCATTTTCTGCTTATACTTAGCCTATGCCAGTCTACCGTAAGTCAGAGTTCTGGCTGGTTTGGGGCCTCTACCAAGTCATTCAAATACTTACTGAGCATCAGTGTAGCAGCCATGGTGCTGGGAGAGCCATCTTTGAGCATTTCCCTGCCTTAAGGAACTGGGAGACAACCTTTTTCTGTTAAATGTTAGTATATATTTTATACTGTGTAGGCATATATAACTTCTGATATGTCTTTTTAAATTAAAAACTCTTTAAAAACATAAAAGCCATTCTTAGCTTGAACACACACACACACACACACACACACACACACTCATGCTATGGGCTGGACATGGCACCCACAGTTGTGGTTTGCAGACTCCTGTCTACAGGAATGCAGCTGTAAGCTTCCTAAGGTTGGGAAGTGACCACTTTAATTGCTTGCTCTTCACTGTGGGGTCAGATCAGTATCCTGCAGGTTTTTGGATGCACCCGGGTCTACATCACCAACTAAAGGAGGGAAGCCTGTACTTCCCATTCCCCACGTGGTTCTCTTCATGCTCAAGCTTGAGAGCTGCTCAGAGGGGCTGTGTGTCCTGCCCCGTTCCCTTCACTGGGCAGCGCGGGTGCCTGACAGCACAGGGAACCTATGGCTCAGCTCACTCTCCAGCACTTGTTTTGGTTGCATAGAGGGTCCCTTTGCCAGCACCACAATGCCTCCCACTTCCCATGAGGTAACTGATCAGAATAGCGCGTGTCTGAGTATTTGCTGTGGCCAGGTGCTGCTCCAACTCCTAATCTGCTTTAGATCATCACTTTTTAGATACTGTGTGGAGAGAGTACCATAATCCCATTTCCCAACAGGCAAGCAGAGGCTTAGGAAGGTTAGCTAACTTGCCCAGGGTCATAGCCAGATAGTGGCAGAATCAGGACTCAAGCCCAAGACCGCAACTCTGGGGTGTCTCAACCTCAGCCTGAGAATTCTATGTGATGGGGGTGAGGTCACCCTATTCAATGACGGCTGTTTAGCAGCACCCTGGCTGGTATCTACTAGATCCAGTACCAGTTTCCTTCTCTCCAGTTTTGACCACCAAGAATGTCTCTGAGCATTATCAAATGCCCTACATATAAGCAAAAGCAAAAAACAAACAAAAGAAAAAGAAAAACAAAGTCCCCCCTGGTTGAGAAACATTGTGCTAGTCCGCAGCCTATACACTTAGCGAGCAGGTAAGTATTAGTAATGACTAGATTATACTTCCCAAACCACTCCTCAAAGCAGTTACTTACCACCCTGCTGGTGCAGGTCTCATAGGGGGCCCGTAGGGTGCGCTTTTCTGGGTTGAGGATGTAAGTGCAATTCAGCATTTCAAGACCGAAGGGATCTACGGAAGCCAGAGAAAGTTAGAGAGGGGTGGCCAAGAAGGACATTCAGTGACAGAAGCAATCGAAGCCACAGAGCCAAGACTGCCGATCCATTCCTCAGACACTTCAGTTACTTCACTGCTTTTGTCCCCACTATGTGGTGTGGCCTACGCTCTGAGGGATGCTGTGATCCACAGCCAAAGTTTCCCCGAGGTTATGAGGTAAGAGAAAGAAAGCCTCCCACACTTGGCAACACCATGCAAAGCAAGTGCCCCACAACATCATGGGAACTAGATGTGTTGCTCCAGTTTGTGAAAAATGGGGCTGGCCTGGAGCCCAGATGCTCTGCTGAGTGAGACGAAGCTAAGAACAGGCATTACCAACCCAGCACAGAGGCATGCCAGTTCTCAGGGCCAAGGTCACTTGAAAACTCCACTATCATTCTGTCTTCATGGCAGGTGACAGAACCTGAAGAGCAAAGAGAGTGTTGGGGCCTCTGAACTCCAGGCGCATGACTCCCACAGAAGCATCAAGGGAGGTGCCAGCTGGGAGAGGCAGAGCTTGTCCACCCGCCCGCAGGAGAGCACAGCTCAGAGGGAAGGACACGCTCCAGTACGCGGTACCAGGCACTAGGTACCCCAGGGATACCCTGGGTGAGGGCACACACTCCGGGGTCGGGGCCCGCACCTGTGGGGAAATCAGGCTTGGGCCCTGACAGTGACGCTGACAAGGTGGAAAGGAGGGACTGCACGTCTGAGAGAAACTGGGGAACAAAGGTTTTGTCTAATGGATTCAATTTGAAGTTTTAAAAAAGGCCTGTGTAAACTCAAGGTCACGGTCTAAGGTTAAGTTCTGCCTACAGTCTGCTACTCTGCGTCCTCCAGCTCCGGGGAAAGTTTCTAAAACACCCCGTTTTAGGTGGAACCGCTCTGATTGGGCTCTGGGTTGCTGTTTTCCTTAACATGAGCCGGTGTTGGAGGATGCTGCTCTCAGGGAGGGTCTCAGGCTGTGGTCTGTGCTCTTCAGATGCCACAGTGGGCAGTGTCTGCAAGCAGTTTCTATAAGAAGCCATCGATAGGCCTCAGAAAATTCTAGTGACTGGCTCAGGGTAGAAAGGGGTGTGGGACTGTCCCTGCGTTTGTGTTTCACAGCCATTGGCCCGGGCTGCACCGGCTCAGAGCGGTGTACCTGAGAAGGCGCGAGTCCCCAGCTGCGCAACCTCTGCTGAGCGCACCAGAGTCACCAGGGATAACAAGAGGGCCAGTGACCTGCAGGCGCCATAGGGGGGAGAGAGTTAAGGGATGGACTTTACCACACAAGGCCACGCGTCCCCTCCCTCTGCCCCAGGCACTACTCACCTCCAGCCCGACCTGAGCCAGCCTGAGGGACTCCCACCACCTCCTCTCTGCCAGCACGCCATGGCCCCAGCACCGCCAAACCAGCCAGGCAGGAGGCAGTTACAAAACAAGTGCTTTTAGGGCAGGAAGCTGGCTGGGACCTGCCCCCTCCCCATTGGAAGCACCTGAATCCCTGCAGCCCCAGCTGCGAGGGCTGGAGGGCCAGGCTTCTAGGCCAGCCGGGAAGCCAGAGCTCCCGGGAATGAGCTCCAGGTGGGGAATTAGTGTTTTTCTCATAACACGGGGAAACTAACCTGTTTGGGACAAAACATTTACAAAAGAGTGAAAGAGGGAGTGGGCTCCTCTTCGAATTGCCTTCAAGCAGAGCCCTCTCCGTCACACCCGCTCCTGGCCGGGGGGGCGCGTTAGGAGTGGGGGGACACACCTGGCCGCTGCATGAACCAGCTCTACACGCGGATGGAGCATTGTTCCCTGTCTATAATTATAAACTTACTGCAAAAACACACTGGCAATTACAGGGAGATATAGAGAAAAAGAAAAAGTTACCCATAATCCCACCACTGCTAATATTTAGGTATGTAACTTTATAGATTTTCTCTACAAACACCATACACACTTAGAAAAACAACCAAAAACTGCGATCAAAGTTTAAACTTTGTGTCGTAACCTGCTTTTACCACCTTACATATCATGGGCATTTCCATACTAAACTTGATCTCCATTTCTACTTTAAGGCTGCATCACATTCCATGTCTAGATACATCAGTGATTAACTGTCCCCTGATGATGGACATTAAGATGGTGCCCAGCTGTTCATCATTATAAATAACTAGAGACCCAGTGCATGGATTTGTGCACAGGTGGGTTCCAGCCAGCCCGTCCCAATCAGATCAATTGGGCTGCGCTGGCTGGGGAGTGGGGTCATGGCCGGTTGGCCAGCTGCCCCCATCCCATGGTCAAACTCCCGGTTGAACCCCCAATTGAGGGGACAATTTGCATATTAGCCCTTTATTATATAGGATTGTATGATAGACATTCTTGTACCTCTCCCTGGTTCCTCAGAAAAAAAGCCCTAGAAGTAGAAATTCTGGGTCGAAGGGAAGAGTGGTCTAAATAGGAAGGTCATAATGGGTGGCAATTGGGGGAGTACAGATGAGGAAACTGAGGCACAGCAGCTTGCCTAGCCTTTGACTATTGAGTGTCAGGGCCAGGTTGAGAACTCAGCTTTTCTGAGAACAAATCACCATCTCTTCTCAGCTCTCTCATTGTGCTGAAGACACCTTGATGCTGCAGCCCGGGCTGGTAACAGTGATAGAGGCTCAGATTCTGTGGGCGTCGGGGTGGCGTTTGCAATTACTGGCTCATGAGTTACCTTTGTGGTGTGAATTGAAGCACATGGCAGGCTGGGTAGTGTTTCCCAACTTCCTGGATCAAAAGACCCTATGGGGCTCCCGTTGACATAAGCCACCGGGGTCCCACTCAGGAGCTGTTGGAGCAGGCTCTCCAGGGGCAGGGCTGGGGTAACCCATGCTCAGCAAATACGCAAGTGAGGCTTATGGTCAGGAAGACGGGGAACACCTGGAGAGAGGGAGGCAAGAAAATACAGTGGTGTCTCGCATAAAGAACGCCTCGCACAGCGAACGCGGCACACAACGAACTTCGTTTCATGATTCATACAACGAACTTCGTTTCACACAACGAAGTCGCCCGAGCTTCCATGACCGCTTTGCCCGAGCTTCCACGACTGCTTCGCCCGAGCTTCCACGATCGCTGCCGATGTATTGCATCCTTCCGCGCAGGCACTGCAGGCAGTCGTTAGTCACTGCGCTTAACTTAAGCACGTATCGCGGCAATCGTTCTTTATTACGAATTCAATCACGCACGTATCACGGCAGTAGTCCTTTTAAGTTAAACTCAATATTTTTTTTATATCATGGCTTCTAAAAAAAGCAGGAAGGTGATTTCTGTTGAAATGAAACAGGAAATAATTAGAAGGAGTGAATGTGGGGTAAAACAGTGTGACCTCGTCAACGCGTTTCACATAACAAACTTCGCATAACAAACTTGCTCCTGGAAGGAATTAAGTTCGTTGTGTGAGGCACCACTGTAAGTGGTTGCCAGTGGTTAACCTCTTTGTGGGAATTAACTGGTTATGTCGCAGAGGAATTGGAAGAGGGAGGACAATCCATGCTAAGCAGGTGTAGGGATAGAGATAATAAACAGATATGGATTCCAGCAGTGGCACAGTATTAACAGTCACTCCTACTAAGCACATTTTCCCAAAGGTGGTATCTTTTCTGCAAATGTGAAGGTGATTTGTTACCACTACAATTAAGGCTCTGATAAGAACAGAGGTAGGAAAGTGGAGCAAGACTCGAGGCCTGTTAAGAAGGTGGTTGGAGAGGTGGCAGGTCAATGCTGGCCCTTCCTCCTGGCCCCAACCGCAGGCTCGCTGCCAGACTGTGCTCTCCGGAGCTGGGGCTTGCCTTGGGAAGGTCACTCAGGCCAGAGCCCAAGAGCAAAGGGGCCTTGGGAGGCAAGGGGGAGCACGAAGGCCTGGGCAGGAGGCGTGGAGAGCGAGGACCACCAGGGGAGCTGCTGAAGGGTGTGTGTGTGAGGTTATTCCCTTTGTCAGGTGTGACTGGACGGTCCTGACCTGACAGAGGCAGTCCCTCGGACATGCCCAAGTCACGGGCGGCTGGCAGCTGGCTTGGGGATGAGGAAGATGCAACTGTTCCCAATGAGGCACTGTCTCTGATCACCACCTGGGAAACTGAATTCTTACCAGAATGATTCCATCCTCACTGCTCAACTAGGTAATAGCGGGTGCTCTTCACATTATTTTCAAGGAGCCCTTTGAGGTTTGCTAATGTGACTAAAAGTGCCCCCTCTCCTCTCTGGGGCTGTCCTGGCCTTCCCAGGCCTCCGGAGGCCACAGTCACCCACTCACCACCAGGCATTTCCGGAGGGAGCTTTAGGTGGTTACACATGAAACATGGTGGGTTATGGCCTCGCTGGGGCAGGCCCCTTCTTGTTTCTGAAATGCAGTTCTTATAAACAGCTATCATTCTTAAACTCCACACTTATTGTTTTATTTTTCACAAGTTATTAACATACCAGAGGCGTGGTGCATGAATTCGTGCACAGTGGGGTCCCTCAGCCTGGCTTGACAGATCAGGCCAAAGCCAGCTCGGCCCCAAGGGTCCTGGACTGTGAGAGGGCACAGGCCAGGCCGAGGGAGCCCACTGGTGCACAGCTGGGGCTGGGGAGGGACCATGGGAGGGCTCCAGAGTGACAAATGCCTAGCTGGGTTCTGGGGTTACTTTGCCTTCCCGTGGCCCCACCCCTATCTGCCTAGGTTCCTCTGTCTCCTCATATGTACACCATCCCTAGAAACAGGAATAGGGAGCAGGAAGATTCCTGCTCTTTTTACTTTATTTACGCCTGTATTGATTAAATTGTCTTAGTGATAATGGAAATGATTTTAAAGTGATAACAGCAATAGCAGTCTATCCAATTTGACGATATGTGAGCTAGAGAAGTGTTCCAACTTCCGGTATAAAGACTAACATCCAGTGCATGGCTTTCTGCCCTGAGGCTCCCGGAGTCCAGCTCCCTATTGTGAGATGAAGTGAAGCCCAGAGGATTAGGAACTGCCCCAAGTCACAGGGCACGCTGGAGGCAGAGCTCCGTGAGCAATCAGGCCTGATGCCCACTCCCAGGCCCTTCCCGTGTTATTCCCATGGGTGAGCACAAGTGTGTGCACAGGAGGGGTACTTACACACTCGGTGCTGCTCTTGCAGTTATCTTAGCTTTAAAAGTCCAAGAAGCAGCGGTATATGATAAATACAGAAACTTCAATCACTATGATAAACCAGCTTAAAATAGCTTTCACATGTCAAATATGAAGTTCTTGAATATGATGTTAGTCTTTAACAATGTACCTATACTATGTTCTTGTCATTTCCCCCTGTGGTTCTTCAGACAATCCAAACTGATAAACCCCCTGACGGTGAAGGACTCAGAAAGAATTAGGGTAGCAGGCGTCTTCAAACTATGGCCCGTGGGCCACATGCGGCTCGCAGAGGAGTCTGATCAGGCCCGCCAGGTTTTTTGGGCAGTGAGCGCAGCCGAGGTGTTACAGTAGGAATTAGTAGTTCATATACTCCGGCCCTCCAGCTCTCTGAGGGACCGTGATCTGGCCCCCACTTTAAAAAGTTTGAGGACCCCTGGGGTAGAGGAATGAAGGACTTCTTTGACCCTGGGATACAAAGACAGAGCCGCTTAGATAAACAGAGGCCAGGGCTCAGAAGTTCTCACTGAGGACTCATTTACATAAAATGTCAACACATTACTCCACAGCTAGCAGCTAGGGCAATGGTCAAGACGGAAATGGAGAAAAGGTTCCTTGGCAATGCAGCAGATGCCTTGTAGTTGATAAAATATAAAATATGTTAAATGTTAAAGTTCTGAAGGATGTGGGGGATTGATTGTGAAGATCCCAATGCCCTCCCCCTCCACACACTCACACACACACTCACACACACATACACATACATACACACACACTCACTCACACACATACACACACATACACACATACACACACTCACTCACACATACACACACTCACACACACATACACACTCACACACACACATACACACATACACTCACACATACACACACTCACACACATACACATACACACACACTCACACACTCACACACGCACACACATACACACACTCACACACACATATACACTCACACACACACACACACACACACTCACACACACACATACACTCTCACACACATACACTCACACACGCACACACACACACACACACACACTCACACACGCACATACTCCTAACCTCTCCACGTGCTCAGTCAGCCTGTTCCAG